ACAACCTCTATACAACGAAATGAGACTGCGACCACACAAAAGGCCACACCATCTTGGTCTTCATACCTTCAATTAAAATAATATTATACTTTTGAAACGATAAACCCATGAATTTCATTATTTGACTAGTTGTGTAGTCTTAGGAATGGCTTTTATCACGTAGTACAGCGCCAGTGCATAGCTTTAAAAGCTGCTGGGGATGAAATGTAAGAATATGCGTTTTCAGGAAAAACCTTTCTGAGGGTATTTTTGAGATCTCATTTAGGTCATAAAAACAGGGGCTGTCACCCTAAATAACGATGACGTTCTGCTTTATCTTAAACTGTGATTGCACAATGTAAAAGAATTATTATGGTTGCTTCCCAAATAATGATTGTGAAATGGTATCAATCGTCGAAGCCACAGTTTAGCTAAGCCGAAATAATCAACAGATACAAATCAAGCACAATAAAATGAAACTTAAAATCAATCTTTAGTCTGGAATCTCACATATTGTTGAAAAATGACTTCTTTAAATTATGAAAAAATTTGGTTCAGAGAAACTGATACTATTTCGCCTTAAAAATATATTTTGGACACAAAAGGAATGAAGAATAGAATAGTCATAATATTCTTAATCGTAAAAAAGTATGAATAAAATCAAGAATCAAGCTGATCACAAGAAAAACAAAAGATATGAGAACTTACTTCAAATTCCCTGTTTCCCGTTCTAATAAGGCAACTCTGATCTCCACCTGGCTCTCTTTGGCTCTCCTGGCGTCACGCGATCGCTTTGCAGCAGCATTGTTCTTTAGTCTGCGGTTCCAATACTTTTCGTCCTTCATCTCTTCGGGAATAAGGCGCTAAATAATGAATAGTATCGAACATAATAGAAAATGGGAAAGCGCCCATTTAATTGTTTTAACGCATCTAATAAGCGTAAATCGCATTTACCGAGAAAAAGCCGGTGTGATAGAAATATACAATATGAGAGAATGAAAGTACCTATTAAAAAAATTTTGCACCTAGGATCTTCCAAAGATCCTTCTACTTGAAATGTAACTAACAAAGATTAAGGTGTTTGAATCAGGCTAAACATAAATAATTAAAAGCAAGACGCTTGAATATCATTAATGAGTCATTAGTGCTTATGATATATCTAATAGTAAACAAGCATGAATTGCCGCCTCGGATATCTAAGACAGAATTCAATGTAACAATATCGGCCAAATTCTGTCTTAGGAAAAAAAATCAGATGGAAAAAGCATTTGGATTTATAGTGATACAAGAGAATATCCATAAAAATGTCAACAGCCTAGGAATTGAAGGAAAACATTTACGAACCTCCAGTAGAACTTAAAATGAAGAACACGGGCCATCAGTAAGCAAACGTAGATATAAAAAGTGTATGGGTTTCGAGTTAAAACGAAAAGAATTAAGGTTAGATACTTCACATTATAAAGTCTAACCAGATAAGCTGCAAG